TACAGTTATTTAAATTTTTAGAATATGCAATGTCTCTTTCAATATTACTTTTCTAATGTTGCAAAGGTTTTTATCTGTTTCTTTGGTTGGTTGATTGGTTGGTCTTTAGCTCTCTTTTATAATCTCCAAAAACTGGAGAAATGAGGCTAAGTTCCCTAACTTAGATTGAACAGGTCTGGAGCCTGCCTGCCAATACGAGGTGCAGGAGTGATGGAGAATCATTCTCAGAAGACAGTTAGAACTAAATTATTAGACAGCCTCTCGAAAACGAAGGATTAATTATGATGTTAAAGCATCTGATTTCCACATTTGCTGTGTAAAACTCCTGACTTACCCAGTTTGGTTGTGAAATTGGACTCCATAAAGTAAGAAAACTTTATTGTACAAACCATTGTTGTACATGAGGGAAGCCTGATAGTCATGCTTTTGTGGCTCGATGGATATGGAATATGGAGAACAGGAGAAAATTGAAATTCCTGGTATTAGTAATTTGTATTGACAACTCTGACATACTTCATTTCTTTGGATAATTTAACCTGTTTGAGAAACCTATTTTTCCGAAGTGCACAAAGCTATTTTCCGTGGTTAGACTTATATGATAGCTAACATACACCACTTATATTTTTCAACTTCAAGGTTAATGAGAGTGTCTACAGTGTCTTTTCTAACCACTTAGTAGTCTAAAAGTGACCTTCTTTAAATAAGGTTTTATATTTTGGTCAAAAGAAACACAAACTACTGCATAATACCCCCACAGAATATCTGTACTGCACTCCCTGCGCTCACATGAGGATATACTGAACATCCCTGTGCCTGTCTCTTCACAAATATCTGAAAGAATCTGGGGGGCCCATGGCCTGCTATACCCTACAGCCTGGCAGCCTGCTGAGAATTTCTTGAGTCACAGGGTAAGCAATAAGTTTCCCTAGGCAGTGTGGTGAAAAGAAGAATGGAATTTATAGCTTTCTTCTAAATTATCCCTTCACTTCAGCCTCCAGCCATCACTGCTGCTACACCAACACTGCCTCACACATTCCTCATGCCAACTCTTAACAGTCTTCTGTCTTCCCAGGTGGACTCTTGGCTACTGTAGTTTTTATAGGCACCATTCAGAGGAAGGCAATCAGAAGCTACATAACAGAAACCAGGCATAGTATAGTTCTTTGGAAGCAGTAACCCTTTCCTTACTGTGACTCAACTTAGGAGGAAACTCAGCAGCGTGCTTATAAATTCTTTTCCCATGCAGTTCTTGAGATTGATAAGAATCACTGTCACCATTCCCATCTGCTCTTTAGAGATTAAGATCAACAGATAGCCATTCTAATTGTTGCTTAATGATTGACATGGCTTACAGTTTTTTTTCAAGTTATCAGCTGAATGGAATTTCTAAATTTCATACAATTGAAATTTCATAGTGTATGGCATTACAACCAGGTAAACTGAAAAAAAAAAGTTCCTTTTTTGTCAAAAAGGTGGGAGCTTTTATTTCAAATACATTTATTTTATTTTTATATACTCACATATTCTTTTTTTAGTATTTTATTTATTTATTCATTCATGAGAGACACACAGAGAGAGAGGCAGAGACACAGGCAGAGGGAGAAGCAGGCTCCATGCAAGGAGCCTGATGTGGGACTTGATCCCGGGACTCCAGGAGCAGGCCCTGGGCGGAAGGCAGGCGCTAAACCACTGAGCCACCCAGGGATCCCCTATACTCACATATTCTACATTGACATTTTAAATTTTATTCTAGAAAGTAAGAGCAAATGTAACCTCAACGAGAATTATCTCTAACTCAGTGTTAAGGCAAAGGTCCTTATCACTTCCCTTAGAAAATAAAAACAAAAACAAAGTCCACGTTCTTAATAAAGCCATAATCCAGATATCTAAGATGTAAATTAAAGGGTGAAAAGAGATGACAATATCAGAAAGGGGCACAAAGACACCCAGTAGCTGCCAGGTAGTGAAAAGCAAATACTAGAAGGCATATCATACCAACTACTGGAGAAGACTGTGCCCAGGGACTAGCAAGGCAATAACATATAAGATACCTTTCATTGAAAAAGGGCCCCGTTAGTTCCTAAAATATTTGAATTCCAGTTTGGAAACTATATGTGAAAACACAAAAATGATTTGGCTGTTCCCAGTAATTCCTTTTGAAACACGTCTTATTCAAGCTGTGAAAACATCACACCAACTCAACATGAGAACGGCACCCACCCTGGTGCAGTTATCATGTGAACAGTGCCTGATGTCAACTTAACACAAGGGGAAAGAAAAGGGAAATAGAAAAGGACCTAATTATGCTGTGATCCTAACCAAGACACAGCCATGTGACTGGGCTCTCAGACTTCTGGTATAGGAAGAAAATGTCTTAATCTTAGACCTGAGCATATGTTGAATATAATTTTCAGAAGGAGCATGACATCGTTATCTCTCCAGCTTATTTCAGAGCATTTCTTCAGTGACTAAGCCTTGCCTCTGAACCTGAATGTTTGCAGGAAACACATTCCCTGAATGCATCCCCCACTGGGTTCTTGAGTAGAGAAGCCTTTCTTGAGCCATGAAGATCAGTGGCCCCAAAATTCTAATGCTGACCCTCTCTTACAAATACACTGTTTAGGAGTTGACTTTCAGTAGCTTTTTCATTTCCATCATAGCCTAAGAAGGTGTAAGTTTGGGATTGCTGGAGGTACAAAAGGCAACATCTTCTGAGCATTAAAAAAAAAGTGCCATTTGCCCTCTTTCATGACATAGCCACCTCTGTACAGACAATTTGGAAATGCAATTCCTCCCATTATTCCTACAGGAATCATTCACAGTGTTTATTGGTAGTGAATATCCCTTGTTTAAATTGCACCAAAATGTAGGATCACAAATAATCTTGCTTTAATTAATAAGAGTGTCGGGGATCCCTGAGCGGCTCAGTGGTTTAGCGCCTGCCTTTGGCCCAGGGCATGATCCTGGAGACCCGGGATGAGTCCCACGTCAATCTCCCTGCATGGAGCCTGCTTCTCCCTCTGCCTGTGTCTCTGCCTCTCTCTCTTTCTCTCTCTGTCTCTGTCTCTCTCTTTCTCTCTGTGTCTCTCATGAATAAATAAAGTCTTTAAAAAAAATAAGAGCGTCATAGACAGAAAACCAGTGGATTCACATGTTACACAGATTCAGTGCAACCATACTCAGTTAGGGATACACTCTGTAGTGGAAGCATCTCTTCAGAAAATAGGTGAAGTGTAAGCAGTGCAGCTTTCACAGGGTACTGGGGTGGAGGTGTAGGCATTCTGAAAGCAGGAGAAAGAATAACAGAAAATCCTCTTACCATATGATTCATTCATGATCAGATCCTCTAGGAAAAAGTGATGAACTTAGGGCACTGTCATAGTCCGTTTGGGCCACTCTAATAAAAATACCATAAACTGGATGGTAGAAACAAGAAACATTTATTTCTCACAGTTCTAGAGTCTGAAGTTTAAGGTCAGGATGTCAGCATGGCCAGGCTCTTGGTAGAGGCCTCTTCCTGGTTTGCAGATGGCCATCTTCTCCTTACTATCTTCTCATTGCCCAAGGAAGGAGGAGCAAACTCTCTCCTGTCTCTTTTTATATGGGTGCTAATCTAAAGGAAGGCTCTAGCCTTATAACCTAAATTACCTCCCAAAGGCCCCACCTCCTAATACCATCACATTGAGGGTTAGAATTTCAACATGAATTTTAGGGAGGTATAAACATTTAGTCCATTAGAGGAACCTAGGGATATTTGCTAAACATTGCAGAACATTTTAAGTTGTTAAGATTTGTTTAGTGGAAGCTATGTCATGAATATATTAATGATAAATATATATATGTTTATATACTTATGTGTAGTGCATGTAGTACATATGTATACACCTGACCATGTGTGCATACACATATATATGCTTATGTGTACATTTAAGATATATATGTGCACATGATCGTGTGTTCATTTATACACACATATCTGTGTGTGTGTGTGTGTGTGTGTGTGTAGTATGGAAAGTGTATTAATTGCCTGGGGTTGCTATAGCATTACCATAAACTTGGTGGCTTAAAATCATAGCAATTTATTCTGTCACAGTAATGGTGACTAGAGTCCCAAATCCAGGTGTTGGCAGTGCCTTACTCTATAGACGCTTTAGGGGAGAATCTGTTCCATGCTTTTTCCAACTTCTGGATAATAGTCACATCACTCCAGTCTCTGACAGTCATCTTCACATTGACTTTTCCTCCGGATATCTGTCTTCTCTTCTGTATGTCTCTTATAAAAACACTTGTCACTGAATTTAGGGTGCACTCAGATTATCCAGGATGATCTTATCATTTTAAGATCTTTAATTCAATTATATCATAAGGACCTTTTTCCAAAAAGGTAATATTCACAGTTTCCAGGGAGCAGGGCATGGACATACCTTTTTTTGAAGCCACAATTCAAAATATCAAGGAGATATTTTAATTTTAGACTTGAAGCTGCTTTTGCTTGCCTGGCATTAATCTCTTCACTGTAACTTTTTATCTGATGTTTATGTCATCATTGCCATAATACTATAATAGGATTTCTTTCATCTCAGGCAACCAACATGGTGTCCTAGAAAGAAATCCATTTTATATCTAATTTGGCCTTGATATACCACCCTGATCCTCACCATATTGTTCATTCTTTTTCATTTTAAATATCAAGAAAGTTAAAGGAATGCCAAGCTACGTGAAGTAAAAATATCATTTGGTAAAATCATGGTTATTTTGGCAAGCACAGAAGGAAATCTGAGTCAGGCAGGGCTCAGGCAGGCTGTCCACACAAAAGCCTGCTAACATTAATCTCAGAGAAGACACTATGATGTTCCACAGCCCCTGCGGCATTGGTGTAGATGAAGACAAATATATTTCAGTTTGTGGATCTATAAACCTCAAGTATTTTATTTGGACCAAACCATTCAAGAAATTCCTTCCAAGTCTTAGGCCTTATTCCATTACCCACTACCAGTGTATTTAATCTCTCTTTTCTTTTGAACATGTTATATATATAACATTTTTATATGGGATATAATTTAAAAATGTTAGGGAAAGAGAGGAGAGAGAGGGAGAGAGAGAGGAAAGGAAGCCAAACTCCTGGAAGCATATTTTGTGTTGAGGACTTTATAAAAACTATAAAATAGGCTTCCATTTCAATCATTACTCTATAAATGAGACTCAGTATGGTGCTGACTTTATTGCCTAACAGGGTCTAAAAATTAGATATACAGTGATTCTATTGCAGAAAATGCAAGTATCTCTTTCTCAGCATGGATTTTTACTTAACCTTTGTATTGCGGAATAACCTTTGTAAAAGCTGAATAGAATACTTTGCTTCTTATTCATCACTTTTCTGTGGAGAACTCTGCCCCTCCGTGACAATGAGGAATAATTTGAGGATTGTCTCAGAACATTGTAACTTCATTTGTCTCAAAAGTTACTCTGAGGGACACCTGGGTGGCTCAGTTGGTTGAGCATCCAACTCTTGATCTCAGCTCAGGTCTTGATCTCAGGATCGTGAGTTCAAGCCCTGTATTGGGTTCCATGCTGGGCTTGGAGCCTACTTAAAAAAAAAAAAAAAAAAAAAAAAGTTACTCTCAGACTTTGAAATGAAGATCTCAGGGATGAGGTGAAGTGGCCTCAAAATAGGAGGTGTCATTCTTCAACACTCCTTGACCCCTGGTGGGTAACTGACCAAATTTACTCTTTCACAATCAGCAAGGAGGCGTGTATGAAGCAGTAGGGGTGATAATAGTGATATTCAGTGCATCCATTTTGTAAAAGCTCTTATTCAGAATAATTGTGCAAACATCAAATTGATTGGTAAAATGGGAATACAGTACAATTCTACCTTTTATGGCCTACCTTTCTAACAGCTGTATAGCAGTATAACTGCCAGGTTCCTGAGGAAGAAGCCCTTCATTCTTAATGCCTCGAGACATTTTCATTTGCATTTCTTTCTCCAGGCTGGTTTTCATACTTGCTTTCCTTTTAACAAACAAGCCACAAGAAACATTCTCATATTTTACTTGTCCTTCTTTTTCTCTTAACCTTTTCCCTGGCTTGTGATGGTTGTTACCCCATAGTTAACCAAATTTTGGTTCATGGTATAAAGGGCAGTAAGAGTTTTTTAAGACAAAAATGTCAGTTTTATAGTTTTCACATACAAAAAATTCTTGTGGGCAATGGCATTGAAAGGATGATACAAAATAGATGATTTTTGTGTATTTGCCAGTATGTATAATTAGAATGTTTAGAGTATGTAGAAATAAGCATGCATCAGAAAGAAGGGTAATTGGCAGCTAGAAGAAAAATACCCATGTCCATCCAACCTAAATCAAAAAGCACTAAATGTTATTCATAAGATAAATTTGAAATATCTTTGCTCACAGGAACAGGTTCATACTTTTTAATTTGAAAACCATAAATATCTAGCCAGTAATTAAATATAAAAAGGAAGTTTCTCCTAAATCTTGGGCTAAATTTCTATTTACCTTATAGCAAATAGTTTGATGGAATAAATTGAAAGGGGATCTTGACATAATGATAGTGGGGAGGGCTTGACAACATAATTAATAATAAATATGTCTAATTGTTTTCATGACAACTGTTTTATTCTACTTTACTCAATTCCATAGGTTCTTTTTGATAAGTTATTTTTTCTGTTAATCATGTTAATTTCCCATATTATTGCAAAAGAAGACAATCACTAGAATGATGTCTTCTGAAATCTCTATAAATCAATTGGAAATTCTTAATGACAGTCTTCCCTCTAATGTTGATGGGTTGAAGAGAAGGAATCACTTAAAATTCAGTTTAGTTGAAAATGTATAAGTGGATTATTTTTTCTGTTACCCTTATATTTTAAGATAAAAATTTACCTTTAGTATTTAGGGGATGTCCCATAAAAACAAGGACCAGAGCTGCCTGATTTCATTGGAGCAATGTTTCAAAGATCAGGCATATTTGAGTTCTTAATGAATTCAAATCACATGTCAACAGTATATTCTGTATTCCGGTCATCATACTACCTTGCTTATATAATGTAAGAGCGAGCTAAGGTAATAAACATATAGGATCAGAAGAGAAATTGTGACATTGTCTAAGCCCTATCATGCTGCCTGGAATTCAACTGATAATGACCTTTACCAGTAAGAAGCAGAAAAGCCATTTCTAAAGCCATTTCTTTTCTGTCGACATCAAATAGTTTCTCCACTGGGGCCCTATTGACATTTTGGGCCAGATAATTCTTTGTTGTAGGGGATTGCCCTGTACAATGTAGCGTGCCTACCAACATGCCTAACCTATACCCACTAGATGCCAGTAATGCATCTGCTCCTCAACTAGCCCTACCCCTCTTGGCCACTTGGGAACCTTAGCTGTAACAATAAATAATGTGCACACATTGCCAAATAAGCATCAGGGCAAAAATCTCCCTAGTTAAGAATCACTGTCTGTGAAGAGCAGAATCCACTGCCCGGTATCCTGTGCTCAGCTCTGGGGCCTGTCTTTCAAACTTGTTACACTGTTAATGGCAGACCTCACCCCAGTATGGAGGAACATGGTCACTATATTGTTGGTAGTCATCCTAGAACTTTCTGAAGGAAATTTCTTAAGCACTCATGTTCCTAAAATTAGAATAAAATGTCAGAAACAAAGAGATGCTGTGAGATATGTATTTAATTATATAGTGCTCAGTAAATTCCAAGTGATTTTGAAAAGAAATGACCACTTCAGGCAAACATTCCATACTTACCAATCATCCTTGTTTAATGCAGAATGTCTCAGGATCACTTGTTCAATTTCTAAAAATCAAGGATTATCAAAATGAAGTGAAATGTTGAGGTAGAAAAATATTCTCCTTTTGCATTGATAATTCTATTTCCTTAATTGATCTTTAATATACACTGTGTGAAAGGATTAAAACACCTATTCTCTAATATACTTGCTTTCACAGACAAGTGACTATTTTATTATCTTTATTTTTGAGGTAATAAAACTTTTAAAAATTGCTATAACCAAGTGGCTAATGGATTTAATTAATAAAAGCCATTAACCTATTGCTGTGAACTATAAAAGAAAAACAAGTTTGTTTTTTTTAAGAACATGCCCGTTGGTCATTTAGTGTATGTTAGATGCATACACTGGAGCAGATTATATTTACAATTACTCTGTCTTCTCGCAAATGTTAAAATGATTTAAATGTGGGGAGGAAAAGAGAATTTGTGAAGTTATGGAAACCACTTAAAACTTTGAAGCTGAACAAAAGTCAAAAAGCCTTAGTGTCAGTGAGGCTCGATTTTAATGGAAGGAATGTTTCCCTCTCTTCCACAAACCTCCCCTCCTCTCTTCTTAGCCTTTTCTTGCAGGAACTCCGTTCCACCCAGAAAACATGAGGAAGGAGGCTGGCAGCGCAAACACAATCTCAGTAGAAACAGCTAGATCCTCTATTTCTCTGTGAAACCCACCTGCTCCTGCTGGGCTTCTCTGTGAAACCCACCTGCTCCTGCTGGGCTTCCAGGCTTGCAGCTTGGAAGGCCTCTGTTTGCTGCAGCCGCCTTTGCCCAGCAAAACAATAAAGCTGTTATTTTTCTTTAAACTCAAACTCTGTCCATCCATGACATATTTGGGCTCTGGAGCACAGAGGTTGGTTTTGGTCAACGTAATCCCAGGTACATCAAAATATTCTCAGCTCTTTGTGAACAACTTGCAAACTAGGCCAGTGCAGTACCTGGATTATTGATTCATACTCAACTTTGACTCCAAATAAATGAAGTTATCACATATAAAATACAGCATGTACTCAAATGCTCAAAGTAAACAGGAAGGAAAAACTAAAACAAAATCCTAGGAATGTAAAATTAAGTCATTAAAAGCCTAGTTTAAAGAAGTATACAGTTATAAAATTAACTTCATTTCCCTATGTATGTGTATGTCAAATCATCACATTGTACACTGCAAATATATACAGTTTTATCAATTATCCCCTAGTAAAACTGGAAAAGCAACTTTAAAGAGCTGAAATAAAATTTTTGTATATATAAAAACAAAGGGCAAAAGATCAAAGAGACATTTCTTCAAAGAAGATACAGATTCCAATAGCCCATGCTCAACATAATCACTTGTCATGGAAATGCCAACCAAAACTACAGTGAGACCCCACTTCACACCTATGAGGATGGCTATAATCAAAGAGACAAATAATAATTATTAGTGAGGATGTGAAGAAATTGGAACCCTCATACACTGATGGGAATGTAAATATGGGGAATAGTTAGGAAAAAGTTTGGCATTTCCTCAGAATGTTAAACATAGAGTAACTTAGGATCCAGCAATTCTGAGAAGAGATTTGGTGAGGGCCATGAATATTATGATTGATTTGCTCTTTTTTTTTTTTTTTCAGAAATAACTGGGCCAGGTTTTCACCAAGTATTTCTTTTCAATTCTCTGCCCACACACAGTCTAGCTAACTAAAAATCTTCCCCGATTCCTAGAAATATTTTAGATAGTTCTATAAGATCTACTCAATGATTCTATTAGTTTTAGTTTTTTCTCTCTTTGACATTAAGAAACATAGTGCACTTAATATAAATTAGCAAAACCTTACAAATCTTCTTAAAAGGTACATCACATAAATAAACCACTATTGGGCTCTGATTGCTATTGGAAACAAATTGCTAAATGCAGAGAAAACAGTTTAGACTAGGTAAGGGACTGTTAATATACTTTCCACGTATACATATTTTTAAAGATTTTATTTATTTATTTATGAAAAACAGAGAGAGGCAGAGACATAGGCAGAGGGAGAAGCAGGCTCCTTGCAGGGAGCCCCATGTGGGACTCGATTCCAGAACCCTGGGATCACACCTGAGCTGGAGGCAGACTTTCAACCACTGAGCCACCCAGGCACCCCTCTACTTTATATTTTAAGAGGCAAAATTGTATACATGTTTGTAGATAGAACTAAGAGAATAAGAATAACTGCCTCAGAGTTCAAACCAAGAGAAAAGAATAAGAAAATTCTATGATTTACCATCTATTTAAGAACTGAACCAAATTTTCTTGCTGAGTTTGGAACATGCAGCATTTTTGGCATTTTATGTTAATTTTTCATTTACAAAATGGTCTACATATTAATCAGTCTATGGATTTTTCATTGTTAAAGAAAGATGCTATTCATAACTCCTATTTCCTTATTAAGGTAAGCTCTGCCAGTTTTCAAGAGGAATACCTGAGTACTCTGCCTGACAAAATGACATATTAATATCTTTCATGCATGTATAGAATAGTCCTAGATAGCCAGTTCCAAGATAAACCATTTGGGGTCTCACACCTCCTCCTGTATCAAAGTAATTGACAAGCTCTACATACATCTTTTATCAGTTCCATTTTCCCTGATATCCAATATTGGCATAAAAACAGACACATAGGGACACCTGGCTGGCTCAGTTGGAGGAGCATGTGACTCTTGATCTCAGAGTTGTGAGTTCAAGCCTCATGTTGGGTATACAGATTGCTTAAATAAATAAATATACTTTAAAAAAAACCAGACACAGAGATCAGTAGAACAGAAAAGACAGTCCAGAAATAAAACCACACATACATAGATAGGCCTTATGCTGAGTGAAATAAGTGAGACAGAGAAAAAGAAATACTGAATGATCTCACTTATATTTGGAATCTAAAACAAAAGCAAAAACTGGACTCACAGATACAGAGAACATATTGGTGGCAGGAAGGGGGGGTGTAGGTGGTAGGTAAAATGGATGAATATAGTCAAAAGGCATAAACTTCGAGTTATAAAATAAATACATCCCTATGATGTAATGTACAGCATGGTGACTATAGGTAATCATATTGTATCATATATGTGAAAATTTGCTTAGAGAGCAAAGCTTAAAAGTTCTCATCACAAGAAAAAATATTACAACTATATATGATGGTGAGTGTTAACTTCTTCTGGTGATCATTTTGATACATACACATATATTGAATCATTATGTAGTGCACCTGAAACTAATGTAATATTTCGTCACAATTATATCTCAAAAAAATTTTCTTTTAAAAAGAGAAATTGTGGGGCGCCTGGGTGACATAGTCAGTTGGGCAACTGACTCTTGATTTGGGCTCATGTCGTGATCTCAGGGTCATGAGACCAAGCCCCTGCATGAGGTCTGCACTTACCACTGAGTTTGCTTGTTCCCTCGCCCTCCTCCTCTGCCCATCGCACCACCCCTCCACTGGAGGCACACACTCTCTTTCTAAAATAAAGAAATAAAATCTTTTTAAAAAGAGAGAGAAATCTCCTATTTTCGGCTGTTTAAAAATCACTTTCAAGGAAAGCTTCTTCATTTTTATGGTATTTTCTCTTTTTAAAGTGTTGTTTTCCTATTTCAGATAATACTGGGGATTTGCTCATATGGCACTGATATACTGGTAAACCTCCTTGTTTGTGGAGAATCTCCCTGAAGGTGATGATGATTGGATGATAATATGAGGGAATAATGACAATGATTATAAGCTCATCATTTGCCTTCTGTGTTATTCACACATGTCTGCATAATGCAGTAAAATTACCTCTTTTATTTAGCCCTGTACTTGGGTCAAAGTAAATCCTCAAATAATTCTATTTGCTGGAGAAGTACAGTCTTACTGATTTATTGGAAATCATCTCCATGTTGTGCATTAACATTAGCAACATGCATGACCATTCTTTTGTTTCCCTGCAACACAAAGATTCCATTTGCACTTGCATTGAACATCAACGCAAGACAGTATTCCTGGTGCTGTGTGGAATGCATAAAGGGCCGAGGCAGTTTGTGACCTCAAGGATCTGATCATCAAATTGTAAGGATACAGCAAGAGCACAGTATACGTCACAGTATAATAAATAAAAACTGCAATTAGAAGCACGCATGATGTGCTATAGACTTTGAAGTAAGGACTGATCACATCAGGATAGAAATTAAAGGAAAGATTCCATGGAATAGATGACATGTTGATTAGGGACTGTGGCAGAAACTATTAGTTGTCTACCTAGATACCTATGGTCCCCCTTCCTTCTTAGTCCACAATCCTGAATTTTAGCTGAGCCCACTGATGCACAGAAAGAAAGACCACATTTCCCAGCCTCTCTTAAAGTAGGTGCTGTCATGTGACCAAGAACTGGCCAGTAAGATGTCAGCAGAAGTGTTGTGTGTGATTTCTATGAATGTTGCTTAAAGGTAGCTGACTTACAGGGGGGGAGTTTCTTTCTTTCTTTCTTTCTTTCTTTCTTTCTTTCTTTCTTTCTTTCTTTCTTTCTTTTTTGAATTCAATTTATTGACATATAGTGTATTATTAGTTTCAGAGGTAGAGTTTAGTAATTCATCAGTTGCATATAACACCCAGTTCTCATCACATCATGCACTCTCTTTAATGGCCACCACTCAGTTACCTCATGTCCCCTCACCCCTTCCCATCCAGTAACTCTCAGTTTGTTTCCTATAGTTAAGAATCTCTTAGGGTTTGGGATGCCTGTGTGGCTCAGTGGTTGAGCGTCTGCCTTCTGCTCAGGGCCTGATCCCGGAGTCCTGGGATTGAGTCCCACACTGGACTCCCTGCATGGAGCCTGCTTCTCCCTCTGCCTATGGTTCTGCCTCTTTCTCTATGTCTCTAATGAATAAATAAATAAAATCTTAAAAAAAAAGAATCTCTTAGGCTTTGTCTCCCTCTCTGATTTTGTCATATTTTATATTTCCCTCCTTTCCCCTATGATCCTCTGTTTTACTAAATTCCACATGAGTGAGATATGATAATTTTCTTTC